GCTTCTCTCGCGCCAGCCTTTGGGTTGGAATGGGCCTGAATTCTTACAGCCCGTTTTGCTCACTGGCCTTCGCTCGTCCACCACCTCTGATGCAACTATGAACATCCTTCGGACTTTGACCAAGGTTCAGGATGATCGTCTCATCGATCCCACTAAAGGGCGTGTTCGTGATCTATATACACTTGCGCTGCCCTGGTGCTTGCATGCCATGGCTCCTGACACGCCAAACGATCCTGCACTGAAGGAGTTTGCCGAGGACATCGGTATTCTTGCCGAGCAAGAAGGACGCCAAAGCATCCAGAAAATCATGAACTCCTTCATCAAGGGTCATTTCCGCACGCGGGATGACTTTTTGCGACAATCTGTGGCGAGCCTTCGCGAGCATTACGGTGTGGATTACTGGACAGAGATTGTTACTCTGCTCCTTGGCCTAGTATTGAACCGTCATCGTTGGCTGCGTGTCCAAGTGATGCAAATCCTCAAGGTTTTGTTTCAGCAAAGGGAGACCAGGAATCCGGTGGAGTTGCTGGGTTCTGAACTGCTCATGCCTCTTTTGCGGCTCCTTGAAACCGACTTGGCGACACAAGCTCTAGAGGTTCTTGAAGAGCCGATAACCATGTCTGGCGGTCTTGCAGCGAAGCATGTGCTGCGGATGAGCATGCACGCACGTTCTGCGACGAAGGACGTGCACTCCGTTGCCACTGTCTTCGGCGTTCCAGAGCCGTCTGGATGGTGCGTCGTTCAGGCAGACACTCTCCGTACCACCTGCCGGTCCAACATGATGGCGGTGTTCGATACATGTTCCATGCCATCGAGACCTTCGCGTATCGACTTTGAACCTGAGGAGGTAGAGGCTCTCGCTGCGTCGAGCCCACTGCAAGAGGATCTCGGAGGTCTGGTGCAAAACTTGCACGAACTCACTACATTCTTCCAGGAAGACGAACAGTCGTCCGAGATGCCATCATCGTTCATGATACCGAACCGGCGATTAGAGGCGAGGGTAGCAGCTATTCTCGCCAAATCTATTTCGTCCGAGACGATCACTGACGTGCCCCAAACGCCTTTCCGAGACGTTTTCCGGGTCGGGGCGATGAGCCCGACCGAGGAATCCGACGAGTACTCTGACACTGACTCTGAGTTGGACGCATTCATATTTGACACCCCCGCTATCTATCGTAGTGCTCCTAATGGGTCGCGTTTCCACTGATTTTTTGCATTGCTTTTGCCTCATTTGTATACGACACCGCATGTAGATTACTGGCAAATATATTGTATCAACCAGCGACGTGGGAGGAGCGTGGAGGAGGTGTGGACCCAGGATTGCTTAGTGCTTCTTGTTGAACACGTGGGAAAGCCACGTAAGCAATCTTTGGTGAGGGCAGCTTTCGTCAAGCTTTCGTCTCAACGTATATCCTTTGCACCAACTTTACGCCGTTTAGCTCTTTCTCTCTTGCGACATCGCACTCCGTATCTCTCTACTTCGCTTTCATTATGTTCATCATCAACTGGTTCTGGGATGTTCTTGCTCAGCTTGGTAACTGCACGTCGCCCATTCTTCGCCACTTCTCTGAGTTTGTCTAGGGCTTATGCATAAGAATGCCAAAATTCTTTTCCTTGGTCTGGATAACGCTGGGAAGACCGTGCGTCTGTCTCTCGTCAGCGTTTCTTTTGTTAACATGTATTTTCTGCTCAGACCCTACTGCACATGCTCAAAAACGACAGACTCGCAACTCTGCAGCCAACACTCCACCCAAGTACGTCATGCTTGTATACTATCCTAGCAATCGTCCTCTTTCTGACCCTTCCTGTCAGCGTCGGAGGAACTTGCTATTGGCAATGTCAGATTCACGACTCATGATCTCGGAGGACATCAGCAAGGTTCGTAGCTTGTGGTGCTCGAATTGGTTCACCGTATAAACTGTTCCACCTCAGCCCGCCGTCTCTGGCGCGACTACTTCCCTGAGGTCGACGCCATCATTTTCCTCGTGGACAGTGCCGACTTTGAACGGTTTTCTGAATCCAAGGCTGAGCTGGATGCTCTGCTGTCGATAGAGGAGCTGTCCAAGGTTCCCTTCCTCATCCTTGGAAACAAGATAGATGCTCCGGGGGCAGTCAGCGAGGAGGAGTTGAGGCATCATCTGGGCCTGTACCAGACTACAGGAAAGGTGGGCTAGCTACCCTTATATTTAGTCGTACGAGTATGGCTCATCATCCAATAGGGAAAAATTCCTCTCAATGACATTCGGCCTATCGAAATCTTCATGTGCTCGGTGGTCCAAAGGCAGGGGTACGGAGAAGGTGCGCTTTCTTCTTGGTGCATCTTGCTGTGTCACTAACGTCGTCGCAGGTTTCCGATGGGTTTCACAATACGTCAGCTTTCTTTCTTGTGCTTTCTTTCTCAGCTCACATTCCAACAGATTTAATTCAACCCAGGAACCCGACGGAGCCGTTAGAGATGCCGTTTCAATAGGGTGGATGGACACGAGATTTTCCCTCTCCAATTATCTTACATCGGTAGCACGAACGTTTGTTGGACTCCCAGAGTTGTTGGCTCTTCAGACTCCCGACTCTACATATGTTTTCAACAGAGATTCTGTGTATTTAACACTTGGAACTTAAACAAGCGGATGATGGCGGCACGTTGAACGTTGAACCATGCTGGCATTGCCTTCGTTTCGCGATGTCCTTGTCCTATCCATAGCCGCTCGCGTTGGTCTTATCGTCTACAGCGAATGGCATGATGCCCATTCGGTCGTGAAATACACAGATATCGATTACCGGGTTTTCAGCGACGCTGCTCGTTTTCTCCTTCACCCGGGGCCTGACGGCGAAAACTATGCTCAAGGACCCCTACTAAGGCTTCTTGGACTGCAAACCAATGTTGGAGAGTGCGCCAGTTTGTCTCTTCACCCTAAACGCGAGAGCCAATCTTATACCTAGTCCATACACGAGGGAGACATACCGCTACACCCCGCTACTTGCTCTGCTTCTTGCGCCGAATGAATGGATACACCCTTCGTTTGGCAAATATCTCTTTGCTGCCTGCGACATATGCAACGGAGTGCTGATTTACCAACTTCTTGTTCATGTCGTCCTCCCAAAAACTGCTGTCGCTTCGCAGGCAGTCGATACACAGGACACCACAACTTCTCGTTCCCTGACTCGTAAAGATCTTGCCATGGTCTATAGCGCCATCCATCTGCTTAACCCGCTCGTTTTTGCCATTTCTACCCGAGGGTCGTCCGAGTCTGTCCTTTCCCTGTTTGTGCTTCTCACTCTTTATGCGGCGCTCAACGGGCGGTGGGATCCCGCGGCTGTGATGCTGGGGCTAAGCACACATTGGAAAATCTACCCCGTCATATATGGTGTGGCATGTCTAGGTGTTATTGGTGGGTCTGAACACGCGAAAGGGCGGAAAATGTACATGAGGAGTCTATTCAATCGCCGAACTATCAGATTTGCAGCATTGAGCGCATCCACGTTTCTGTGTTTAGGCGCAGGATGCTACCTCTTGTACGCCTCCTCTTCCTTTGTATATGTGCTCGCATGAACGGCATCTGTTGCAGGTGGGGATACCCGTTTCTTTATGAATCATATCTATATCACCTTCACCGGCTGGACCACCGACACAACTTCTCACCATACTTCTACCTCATCTACCTGACATACCCGCCTCTCAAGCCTGAGCTCTTGTACAAGAACATTCCAATGTGGAACCGGATGCTTCGATCGCCATTGACGAGCTTCGTACCCCAAATGTTTCTAGCGCTCGGAACAGGATTTGCTTTTGGTCATAGGAAGGATGATTTAGTGTTCACTTGGTTTGCACAGACGGTTGTATTCGTCGTGTTCAATAAAGTGTGCACATCACAGGTGTGTCTAGTGCATCCTTAATTATCTTGGAGTTCATAATTATCGTGCAGTATTTCCTGTGGTATCTCCTCCTCCTCCCGCTGGTACTTCCACGGCTACACATCCCGCGCAGGAACGTGATTGCGTATCTAGGAGTGTGGGTGGGTACCCAAGCCTTGTGGCTTAGAGAGGCGTACAAACTAGAATTCTTGGGCCATAATGTTTTCTTTGGGTTGTGGATGAGAGGGCTGATCTATGTCGTGGGTAATTGCTGGGTGCTTGTAGGAATCATGGAAGGGTACACTGCGCCAAGGAGGGTTAAGATATGATGCTGTGTCGGGAATTCTGCTTTTTACAAGAACGCTCCTCATGTCGTCGATAACAAGTAGCGACTAGGATGCTCTGACATATCGCCTTCAAGGCGGTGACCATGTCGCAAGTACTGTACCGGCGTGTATGGTAGCAACGGTAACGCATAACGGGCCTCCAAAATGTTGCCTAATTTCCGGCGAGTAACGCGTAACGAGCGGCCTGTTGCTAACTTTAAAAAGGAATAAAATAATCATTTTTCTGGCGTAAAAATGGGCTGAAAAATCTTGAAAAAATCGCAAAGAAGTCGATGTAGCTATTTACATGGCCGACGGAAGCAATCCCTCATGGGACAGTGTACCGTTGTCGCTGTAAGCCCAAATATTCTCAATATCACCACCGCCTTGGAGGTACAGGTTGAGGAGCTGGAGGAGAAAGTGATAGGAAGAAGAATAAGATTAATTCAAAGCTCTACTACTGTGCCGTGTACAGCTACGAACAATGGTGGCTCGGCCTCAGAGCGCTCAACTCAGGTTGCCTAAATTGGCATCCGTAACGCGTAACTGGGCTTTGGTTGCTAACTTTTCAAAATTTGCGAGCGTAACGCGAGCCTGGCCGTTGCTACCATACACGCCGGTACAGTATGCGGCGAATAATATAGTTGAAACAAAGTTAGCATCATCGTGGCTATGTGGAGTAATGTTACACGTTTACTTATGTCGAGTAATGTACCCAATGTATTGCATTTTCTTTGAAACTAAGTTAGCACTCGCCCATTTCGACACATCCCAAACCTCTTTAAGGCTCTCTGTGCTAAAATCGTAAATATTTCCAAAAAGTGGCATCACCGTGGCTTGAACACGGGACCTTCAGATTCCGAAAGAAACATCGACTTCAGTCTGCTGCTCTCCCAACTGAGCTATGACGCCTTAATATAATTATGGACCGTGAGGTATAGTATTATCATGGATTGAACTTTCCTTCTTGGTCATCACCAGGTCGCGACTACCCGATTTGGTGTAAAATGATGGGAAATATCTTGTATAGAGCCACAAACATGGGAATATACTCTAATGGATGGTATCTAGCCACCCTCTGCTCACCTAAGACATCTGATAACTTTTCAAAAATTCATTGACTTTTGGCAGAAGAAATTGAGTTTAAAACTGGTTTTGCAGTCATCTAATGGGCTTGGTAAATCAATCCTCTTCCTCCCTCATTCATGCACTGTCCCAACGTTCAATACGGTGTTGCTCGCAAAACACAGGACAGTTGCCTAATACCCTGTGTCACTCCTGGCCAGTGGTCCATTCTCCGCACAGGGCACTAACCCTTCCATTAGGCAGATGGGATCAACTCATATGGTTGTGGGTATATATGAAGCAGTAGAGTATCATGATTTTGGAGTCTCACTTGTCTCTCCTGCGTTGCCATAGAACTTGTCTCTGTCGCTGTATTTGCTGCACCTGTTATATACCGAGCCGAAGGAAGGTCCAGATGAAAGACTCCGGAACCGGAACCGGTAGTACGCACATCCTACTGTCCTGTGGTGCTTGCGTTATCTCCCCATATACTTTCCGGAAGTTCCGATCCTCCGGTTCCGGAGTCTTTCATCTGGACCTTCCTTCGGCTCGGTATATAACAGTATTATCAAACTCACCTATCCTGGCTGGTTATGTCACACCTTCCCTCTAATCCTGCAGCACTCGATATTTCTGAGAATCATCGCAAATCTCGTCTCTATTCACAGATTGTTCCTTTGTCTTCACCTTCTCATTCCATGTTGACTATTCCCTCTGGCCCAATTGCTCTTCCTCCTAACGTCGCTATTGCACACGCCGGACAGCTGCAACAACAGCTCCGGTCTCTCTCTCGCTCCGACTATCTTTCCGGTTAATGTTCCGGGACTCGTTCAAAGTCCTCACACTCCAGAAAATCCTACTGTTTTTCCATGATCTCCATATCCGGGTCGTGCTCAAGTCATTCAGCAGAGCACTTCACCAATCCCTTATCCTCCTATTGCTGAGGATGTAGAGGAATCCGGTTCTACCGGACAACCTCTGGTTCCTCAGGCCGAGGAACCTGGCGATGGCAGTAGCGATCATACACCCTCCGGTTCGGAGCACGGAGACCCTCCTGATCCCGATGATGATGGAGGTGATCTTCCTGGAGATGGTGGAGGCGGTGGTCATCCTGGAGGAGGAGGTGGAGGTGGAGGAGGTGGGGGTGGTCCTGGCGGTCCTCCACCCGGACCCGGACCTGGACCCGGTCCGGCAGGTCCTCCTCCCCCAGATCCCGAGTCTGCGGAACAGTTGCTTTTCAGCACTATCCGTACGTTCCGGGATGCAATTCAGTCCTATGTCACACATTCCTCGGCTCCACCTCGTTCTACTCGCTTGAATCTCCGAAACCCAGATACTTTTGATGGCTCCGACTCCGCGAAACTCCAGTCTTTTCTCACTCAGTGTTACCTGCATTTTGCGGAACATCATCAGGATTTTATCTCGGATGATGACAAGATCTTCTATATCATGTCATATCTCTGGGGCACTGCTCAGCAGTGGTTCGAACCAAATCTCTACGACTCTGGTTCCGTTCCGGCTTGGGACGGAAATTTTCCGCGCTTTGTTCAGGAACTCCAGGAGAATTTTGGTCTGCAAGATCCGGTAGGAGATGCGGAAGATCTCATCCGGTCTTGCCGGATGAAATCCGGAGACCGGATTGCCACTTATATCATCGGTTTCGATCGTCTCGCAGTCCTTACTCAATGGGGCGACAATGCCCTGCGACATCAATTCTACGAGGGTCTTCCTCGCCGGCTCAAGGATGAAATGGTTCATCACAACTATGTCAACACCTTACTTGGGGTTAAAGATATTGCCCGCCGGATTGATGCTCGCTATTGGAAACACGAGCTGGAGAAACAGCGAGAGCGGGAGCATGAGAAGATTAGCAATAGTGGTACTGGTTCCGGAAATTCCGGTCAACAGTCAAAGGATCACAAAAGCGTCAACTCATCGACTAAACCGTCTAATTTCCCTTCCGGTCAGAAACCCTTTGGAAGGCAGACTGGCAATCCTACTTCGTCATCATCTACAACGAAGGCCACTTCCGGTAGACTGGCTCAGCAGTCTTCCGGTCGGACTCCAAAGCCGTATGCCGACAAACTCGATAAGCACGGGAGACTCACCAAGGACGAAAGGGAACACCGATCTCGACTCAATCTCTGCATGTTCTGCGGAGGTGCCGGTCATTCAGCTTCAGAATGTCGGAAGCGTCCGGAATACGCTCAGGCCAAGGCGGTATCTGCAACGGCTGAAAAGCCTGCTACAACCGCCGAAACCTCCGAGTCAAAAAAATAATCAGTAGCTCGGATACCTCAGCATCCGGTCCAAGTTGTGTTGACTCCAGGGTGGTTCCTGAGGTTTGCCTCAATGCTTCCACTCTTTCCCCTAATGCCCTTTACGTCGATCTTCATGTCTCTATGTTCCGGTCGGACTATACCCATTCCGGTCCGGAAGAATATGCAACCATATCTCTTTCCATACTGTCACGAATTGCGTCGGGATTCAAAATCCGCTTGCGAACTCTTATTGATTCCGGTTCTTCTCATTGTTTTATATTGTTGAAAGAATGCGAAAAAAATGGGTTTTCACCGTATCCGGTTGCTCTGGTTAGACTCCGGTATCTCGACGGCTCTTCAACAATCATTAATCAGCAGCTCCGTCTGCTAATCCGATTCCCATCTGGCGACGTCCATCCTATGGAATTCTTTGTTACCCATCTTGATTCGCCTTGTGACTTGGTTCTGGGATACAATTGGCTCAACCGCTTTAATCCGTTGATTAACTGGTCTGACGCTACTATATCATTCCGTTCCGGTCAATCCGGTGATTCATCGTCGACATCACAGACAGCTAAGTCTGTTCCAGTTACGGTAGTTCCGATTACGGACGAGGAATCTCTGATTCCGGTCATTCCGGACGAGAAACCTACACCGACTCCAAGGTCTTCGCCAGATTCCGGTCCTTCTATGGACACTTCCGAGGCATCTCCGCCTCTTCCAGAGGCTCCTAAGCCTCATCCATTCACTTCCGTTCCCCTTGTGTCACTGGTATCTGCTGCGGCTTATAGTGCTATTATTCGAGACAAGGATACTGTTCAGTATACCTTGCGTGCTTGTCCTACAGAGGATGCCCAGGCTCGTTCTGCTTCAGCTGATGTTCCGGACCTTTCCGGTCTTCCTCCGGAATACCATGACTTCGCCGACGTATTCTCGGAGAAGGAGGCTTACAATCTTCCTCCTCATCGAGAATATGACCTTAAAATTGAAACTGTTATATCCATGCAGCCTCCCTCAGTCGACCGACTTCCTTCCGGCCATTCCGGTAACCTCCGGTCATCCCTAGGCTCCGGTCAATGACCGGAGCCACCCGGTCATCCGGACGAATCGGGTTTTTACGCAATGAAGGATTACTGAGCGTTTCCCGTTTATCCGTCTTCTCGTCTTCTTTCTTATTGTCCTACGACTTCCCATCAGCCCACCTGACTTGTCTTATTGTCAAGAACCACCCTCCTTCCTATTTGGGAATACAATTAGCTACTTAGTATATATATCACTTTAATACGTCTTGTACATCAGATTGATAATTAACGTTGCTTGGCTTTTCTCCTCGCACTGAGTCGCCCTTGCATTCTCTACTCCCCTCCGGTACTCCGACTCCGGTCCCCTCCTTGGATTACCTGCCGGTCAAGGTAGTCACTCACCCTTACCTTTCTGTGGTGTTGTGATCCCTCCGTATAAAGCCCCGGAGATCCTCCGGTCTCTCCGATCTTCCGGTCCTCCGATCCTCCGGTCTCTCCGGTCCCTCCGGTCCGGAGTTCCTCGGCTCGGTATATAACAGTATTATCAATCTCACTACTCTGACTGGCAATGTCTCGCTACCCTAATCCCAATCTCCCCAACACGGAACAAATCAACCGTGTAGACTCTGGTCGGTCTGAAAGGGATCCTCGTCGAGAATCCCGTATGTTCGACCAGATCGTTCCGCTAGCTACTCCGGTCCAGGTTCTCGGACCGTTGATGTATCCAGCACACCCAGTCTCTCCGACGCTTCGCTACGGTCCGCAATTCTCTCGGGCTGCACCTGCTCCACCTGTATCCTTTCCGGCAAACGCTCCGGGGTTGGTTCTTAATCCCCGGACACCTGAAAACCCGGTGAGGTACCCTGTCTCCCCTCATCCACGTCGCGCTGCAGCACGCAGTGCATCCCCCATCGAGGGACCTCGTTTTGTTGAGATCCCTGAGGACATCCAGAGGCTCTGGAGGATTCCGGACAAACCGGCCGTCATCGTGCCGGAAGCCTTCATTTATCTCATGATGATCCTCCGCTGATCGCGAATCGACTCCCTCTCAGAACGAGGGAGATGGTGACGGCGGTGGTGGAGGTGGTGGCGATGGCGGTCCACCAGTTGTTCCACCCAGAGGTCCACCTGGAGGTCCTCCGGAGGTCCACCCGGAGGTCCACCTGGAGGTCCACCCGGAGGTCCACCCGGAGGTCCACCTGGCCCTCCCGGTGTTGCCGATGCTCCGGCTGAGCCGGACCCGGATCCTGACCGCACCTTATTCGTGGACACTCTCCGGACCTTCCGGGAAGCGGTCAACCTTTTCACTGCTCGTCCCCCTGCTCCTCCTCCTCGTTCCAGCCGATCCAATCTCCATAATCCGGACACTTTCGATGGATTGGACCCGGCAAAACTCTCGTCCTTCCTCACCCAGTGCTATTTGCATTTCGCAGAGCGCCCTCAGGATTTTCCGGAGGACGATGATCGTATTCTGTACATCATCTCGTACCTCCGGGGCAGCGCTCAGCAATGGTTTTCCCCCAACCTGTATGACCCGACCATCATTCCGGCCTGGGACGGAATT